TGAATCAGTGGTGCCTTCTAAAATAATGGAACAACAGTCTTACCTTCGGGAAAGGACTATAAACTCCTTAAAAGAACTGTAAAGTCACTTCATTAGGTGGTTCTTGAGAAATCCAAGGACCACCGATGACAACGCCTGACAAATCAGATAAAACTATACCAATGGAAAAAATTTTATCTACAATGAACTCAATGATGAGTCATATGGAATCGTTAGAAAACAAGCTAAAAATGGATCCAAATAATAACAAACAACACACACAATTAACAGATAGTAATTGGGTTATAGACAGTCAATAGAGTTAATAATTTTTCCTATTAAAATAATTAAATATGAATAACAATAATAATATTAATATAAATAACGAAAACACATTTTACTTAAATAATAAAGGGAAAACAAAAGAAACAAATAGTAGTTATAATAATAATAACAAAAACAATATAATATATAATAATACAATGAACATTGCAACACACAACGTGCGTGGCTTTAATGATAGTGTAAAGCGTGCCTTATTTGTCAACTACATCAATACAAATAATATAGACATTGTAAGTATTGCAGAAACAAATTGTACAGAAAACAAAGAAAAATGGTTCATAGAAGGAGGAAATAAATATAGAGGACATTGGTCATCTGATGGAATGGGGGCAGGTGTAGCCATACTTGTAACGAAAGAATTAAATAAATATATATGTAAAGTCCAAAAGTTTAAGGGAAGAATAATAAGTATTAACCTGGTACTACCTAAGAAAATAATAATCACAATAATACAATTATATTTATCAAGTAAGAAGAAAGACAACAAAGAAACATTGATACAAGTTAAAAATTGGATCCACAATGCGCAGCAATGAAATCATAAAATAATAGTAATGGGCGACTTCAACGCTGTACCATCACCAAGTATAAATAGAAATAACAATAACCAATTCAATATTCCAGAGAGTGAAATATTTTCAATATTAACAGGAAAAGACTTAATTGACAGTTATAAAATCACACACCCTGACTCCAGTGGTTTTACGTGGAAAAGAGATAATTCGCGAGAACAGAGCCGAATCGATGCCATCTGGATTTCACAACAATGGGGAAAAAAAATAATAGAATATTTTACGGAGCAACTTGAACTAGTGACAAAAAGTGATCATAAAATAATACAACTTAAAATTAAAAAAATATGGCAAATACATTCAAATCGAGAAATACATGATAATATAGGACCTAAGTACAATATAAAATTAATGTGCGACGAAAAATGGACAAAGTTCACAACACATGTAGAAAAGAAATTAAAAACAACTACTATCTCGTTACGAAAAGAAAAATATGGAATAACAGTCAACTCATTAAATAAAAACTGGAAAACTCTCAAAAATATAATGATAGAAGCTGCAGATCACGCAATACCAAAGAAAAAAATAAAAAAATTTAATAAAAAAATCAATAGAGATTTCACAGAGAACTATAAACATGCAAAATCATTTAATAAATTATATCAATTTATGAAAAAGGAGAGAATTAAATTTGTTAAATATATTAAATCACATAATAAGTTTTTGAAAGAAAAGAAAAAACTATCAGTACTTAATATTGAAATTGAAAAAATTTTAATAAATAATAGGAAATATGAGGAATTATTATACAAATTTAAAGAACAAAGTATACATTTTCAAACAATCGCAAGAGCAGAGAAAAAGAAAAAAAACTTCAAAAAAATTCAAAAAGCCATAGAAGAAAGATGGGAAAATCTTAAAGAAAGTCTTAAAAAATAATTAATAGTATATTAGACAAATCAAGAAAAACTATTATTATGGATCGCTTGATTGTCAAATCAGAGAACAATAACACAACAAAAATCATTACGGATAAAACATAAATTAAGACAACAGTACGAAAACATTTTCAAAATTGAACAAGGAAGAGGAACATCAACAAAACAATGATGAAAGAGTGGGAGGAGTGATATAAACCAATACCAACAATTGATTCTAATAATTATAAAAATCTACTAGTAGAAGTAAGTATAGACGAATTGGAAGAAACCATCCACCTCTTACCCAATAAAAAAGTGGCTGGACAATTAGGTTTACAATATGAATGGTTTAAGCATCTCCCTAACGAGGACATAGAAACATTAAGAGACATCATTAACATGGCCTTCGAGTTAAATGACATTTCAGAAGAATAAAAATAAGAGTATATATATTCAATTCCAAAGATGGTTAATTGGGAAAATAACTTAAATATAACAAGACCAATAATCTTATTAGAAGCTGGAAGAAAAATATTCACGAAAATTTTAAATAATAGACTGGCAGATATCTTCAGTAACAAAAAAATTTTGTCAGGACATAACTATGCGGGCTTACTGGATGACGATACACAGAATCCAATTTACATTATAAATAATATTATGGAAGACGCAAGGGTTAAAAATAAAGAATTGTGGTTAATGTTCCAAGACATGAGCAAGGCATTTGACTCAGTTAATACCGATTGCCTGTCAAAAGCTTTATGAAGAATTAAATTACCAGAAGGATTTATTAACATAATAGAGAAATTGTTACATAACAGAGAAAATGTCGTATTAACTACTTATGGAAATACAGAGGCGTTATACCTGCCACCCAAATTCAAAATTCAAATGCCAAAATCCCAAATGCCAAAATCCCAAATCCCAAATCCCAAATTATGATTAGTATTTTTTGCCGAAATCCCAAATCCCAAATCCCAAATACTAGTAATTTGGAATTTTGGCGTCCCAAATCCCAAATGATTTGGGATTTGGGTAACACGTATAAGAGGCGTACAAGGTAGAAGATGGTATCAATCAGGGAGATATAATTTCGTCAATCTTATGGAGGATTTTTTATGACCCACTAATACACAGAATTGTAGAATCAGGTCTAGGATATACAATAAAAGAAAGATGAATCGATGACCTAAGATATGGAATGACTAAATCAATGCAAATGAAGATAACAGTGGCAGCATATGTAGATGATACCAATTGGTTTGCACCCTCATGAGAGAAAATGGAAAAAATACTTCAAATTGCAAATGAATTTTTTGTCATGAACGATATCACAATAAATAAAAGTAAATCATACTTAATTGCAATTAATGCCGAGGAGGAAAGTAGAAAGAAAGGTATTAAAATGGATAACGATGTTCTAAATTCTGTGAAAAGTGATTTTCCGATAAGATCATTGGGAGTTTATGTAACAGAAAATGGATCAAAAAAGTTTCAAAAAGAACGCATGAAAAAAATCTCGGATTTTATGGCATATGTCATGAGAGGAAAACTTATTACAGATAAACAAGCAATATATATCTTCAACGCTATTATAATCCCGATATTAGAATATAATCTAAATGACATGGTGTTAACAGAAACTGAATGCAAAAACATAACAACACGATTCATAACAGTAATTAAAAACAAAACCTTATTATCAAGTACAGTACCTAATATACCTGCCACCCAAATTCAAAATCCAAATGCCGAAATCCCAAATGCCGAAATCCCAAATCCCAAATCCCAA